AATTTTTTATTTTTTTTAAAACTGTTTTTTTGTTTTTGTTTTTTTTTTCTGAGCTGCTGGCAAGGGAGAGACTTGGTCTACATTAGCGTATCTAATATTTTGGAAAATTAGCGGCCGTGCACATATTATATAACACAAAAATATGACATTTTTACCCACCCCTACCTCTAATAAAATCATCTAACTTTTTCATTTACCCGCCATCTCTAAGGGGTCGTCCATTAATTATGTCAAGAATAAAAGGGGTCGGGGGAATGGGGGGGGGGGGTCGGCAATGTTTGACAATTGTTGACAAGGGGGGGGGGAGGGGGTGGTAGTTTAGTTGACGTTAACAATCATGTTTTCTCTATTAAAATGTTCATCTTAACTATCGACTGGTTGTTACATTATTTTAACAAATTTAATAAGCATAAATTAAAAAAGTTATTTAATATTTTAGGCTTTCAGCAATATAAGATTTATTTAATGTGTGTCTGTGCACTGCTGCAAGAGAGGCCAAAATTTGACATCTTTGTCAAGGTTCAAGAGTTATGTGCAGTCAAGATAAATGATATTTATTGAGTAAGAAAACGATATTTTGAGAATTAGGGGAAAGTAATGTGAGTAACAACAATAACATCGTTGCTTGAACGGCTTTGCAAAATCTGTAACATCTATCTTGCATCACAAGTCATGTTGAAATAGCATGTTCGATGTACCGACAATGCATATGAAATTATGACCTGCTCCTCAACAAAAAAGGATTCAACTGATTCAAGTAGCTGCCAGGAGAAAGAGAAAGCTTATGGCAATTATTGCTCACACTGACAATGCTTCTATTTTAAGTGCTGAATGATTAGATGAGGATGATGTTGACTTGTCTGGTATATCAGTCTCACAAGATGAAAATGATTAATCAGCTGATAATGCCTATTGTTGCAGTAGAGCAACACCTGGCTACTCCATGGGAAGATGACAGCAGCTTGAAACTATACTACAATTATCAGCTATACTGGCAATAATCATATTTAGGCTATACTTCCACCAACAATGATATTAAGTCTTTAACAACCTTTTAATTGATTCTGCATTATGAAATTCAAGTTTAAAAACTTTTCAACTTGTTGTTTAACAAGCTAAAGATGCAATAACAATTTTGTGTTATTAAAATAGATCAGCACGAAGTAAAATGTCTTTATTTATTTATTTGTATTATAATTCATTTTTGGGGGGGGGGGGGGGGGGGGGGGGAATTAAAAAAAAAAGGGCCTAAACTCACCCCGATAAAACCAAAACCGAATAAAACCAAAAATTAGCCAAAACAAGTGACTTTTGAGCGTTATAAAATGTTTTCACGATCCCTTAGGGCCCTTTGGGGCCTACATGTCGTAACAAATTATTAAGATATCTCTTGACCTCAGACTCAAGAGTTGTAATATCCACTTAACTTATTTATTAAAACTATTACTTTCGCACTTAATTCTAAAACATATGTTTGGCACATAAATATATAATCAATTATGGTTTCGCTAAAATTAGCGTAAATAAAGTTAAGAAAGACAAATGCATTTTTGTACGTTTTGAAATATGTGCATTAAGAGATTTAGATTTCAGATCAGAATCGGATGAAGGGAGATAACGGAATGGTTAAAAGAAAAATATCCTGTCGATTATTTTTTAACACATTTTAAAGAATCTGAAATATTTTTCTCTAAATTTTATGTTGGTAATTAATGGTAATAACAATCAAAGATGTTACCATTATCGACTAACGTTTGTGGGTTGAGGGAGGGGGGAAGGGATAAAGAAAGTGGGAGTAGATTTATACCGTTTGAGAAGGTGTCTAGGCATATACGTCACTTCCTCTCTCGCCCAACTGACAACAAAAGCTTGCCGCCATGATAACCAGAAAGCTCTTGTTTTTGCCATAATTAAAATAGTGGTAAGTCTTTACAGTTGCAAATGAATTTATTTATTTTATTTTATTTGAATCCGTTTTAATAAAATTAACTCAGACGAGTAAGCAATTTGAAATGGGAACAGTGGGGTATGGTAGGGGGACACGACTCCCAGTCGAGGCGTGAACAAGGCGAAGGCCGTAGGACAGCAGAGCCTAGCACCGCTAACCAGTTGGTGTGTTAGCGCTTGGCGAAGTGTGTTGCCAATAAACCGCAAGCTCTGTTACTTTTAGCTCTACACTTTTTAAGCGACGAACATCGCGTTTAGACTATACTTGTCTATTAATCTGCATATTAATTAAATTTAACTGATATTTATTTAGAGTGACATTTTATAATTTAATTAATTTAATTTTAATAAGTTCCTAATAAATATAACTAAGTCAAGTGGCGAAAAATATTTAAAAAACTTGGTAGCGCCAGCACCCAAAATAAATACTTCAAATTAAAAGTAGGAAATTCGACTAAACAAAGTTAGAAACCTTTGGCAAAGACTTTGGGAGTATTGGCCAATATATTTTTATTTAATATATTATTGATTTTAAACCACACTTGTTTTTGCTCAACAACTGGTTTAATAAATTCATTTAGTTGACAAACTAACATTTCAAAATAAAACAGACAACAAATAAATATTGACAACAGTAAAAATCATGAAAATGATGTCTGAGTCCAGTGAAAGGTAGGCCTTAATTATTACTAATTAAAACTTTTAGTTAAGAAAGTTAAAGGCCCTTTTCAATTTTCACGTATTTCAGTTCACTCTTAAGTTTAATATTGGTATTCTCTATACTACTTTGTCCTTATGATTTATGCCTTATCCATATTCATTTTTTTTAGAGCCTAACGGTGCCTTACCCTAGTAGTTGGGTTCAATTTTTGTAGGCCCAAGATAAGATTTAAAAAAAAATGATTTGATTATAGACTAGAGTAAAGGCCGGAAATTAAATTTTATAAAAATTCAATGGTTTTATATTAATTCTTTTTGGCCATTACTATTTTTACAATAAATAATATCATAATGATGTCAGTGATAATCCAAAGCCCTGGTTTTTATAATCTATGGTTCTTCATTTGTCTGTGTGACATGTGTTGTTTTATTTTTGCACCAAAATGTCCAAATTGATGAATGATTAATTTTCTATACATTAAAAAAAAAAAATGGTCACTAGACCTAATTACTAATTATTTTAATTAAAATTTACGCATTATTTTGAAAGAATTAATATAATCTTTTAGGCTTATTTATTATGTATCAAATAAAAAATCCCAAATGGTATAGGACCAACAATTAAACTATTCGTGTCACGAGTTACATTAATGTAAAACCAAAAGCAAATCAATAGTGTTAAAAAGAGATTTTCATTTATGATTTTTACTTAATCTAATCTAGAATGTGAGTAGACCAATTATTCATTATCAATCTTGTTTACAGGAAAGATGCTGTTGTACATTCAGTTGACTATAGACTAATCAGCTGCAATGAAGAAAATAATTGTGTCTCCTGCTAAAGGAGGCAGAGCATTGAAGAGTAAAAGGTCCACCACTCCAGCCAGAATGGAGGAGCAATCCGAATCACCATTGGGTGAGGTTTTATATTATTGCTTCTATAGGCTTTTTTCAAGTTCCAACTCACATAGTATCATGATAAATTGTTTAACTCTTTCGCTACAGAATTTTTTAATCTAAAAAATGTACATTTTTTTCGACGAGCGAAAAAGAGTGAGAGGTTGGGTTTATTAGAAAATATTTAAAATATTATTCTTTGGTTTATAAGACTAAACTTGGTATCAAATGAAAGGTAATTAAAAGGACTATATGTTTGTTCACTTATTTCTTCACTTTAAAAAAAATAAGTTACAGAAAAGAACCATAAAATGTTTTACATTTTATGCTAAACCATTTTTCCCCAAACCCTATGATGTACACATACCTCATCTTCACTGCAATAGCTCAATTCCTTTAAAACTACTCCTATCGGAATCAAGCGTTGCATCTAAATATTAATCATCTTCACTATCAAAAGAAATAGTATAAAACAATTCCAAAGCTTTTTTAACTGTTTATTGTCTAGGAAACTTACCTACTAGGACCTAGAGTAGCCATAGCAACAGTAGAAAAAAAATGAGAAGAAAATCATCAAACTAATGCTTCAACAAATAAACCTTGGTTTCGCTTTTAAACAATGAAGTACTACTCTTCTATGTAAAAGTCTTATTTAAAAATAGGTCTTAAAAGGTTAACCGAAAATAAAAAAGAAACAAATATGATATTGAAACAACACACAGCGCGTTGGTCTGTGCTTTTGAGAACGGCGGAAGAACGCAGTGTGGGTTGTTCTGCATCGAAAGAGTTAATTAACTTAATGGCCTTTGAGGTTAAAATACTTTGATGTCTCATTCATGATTCCTGATAATAGATTGTGGCAATGTGTTTTGCAACATGCATGTCTTTTATATGTGAAAAATTGTCTTTTCATTAATTTTTTTGTTATGAGACTTAATAGGCAGTGCCTGGTTTTTAACTAATTCATATATTTTTGCAGTCGAAAAGACACCTAGAGCTAGAGTAGTACAAAAAGACCTTGTCAAGATGGAATCTAAAGCCAAAGTTAAGAGAGCAGCAACTAGCCCTTTAATTCCAAACTTAATGGATAAGAGAAGAAGAACTTCCACTGATACCAACTCTAGCGCTGATGAAAGGAAATCTCAGCTGCCTAATGGGCCATCTCAAAAGGTGAAATTAAAGGTTGACAGTAGCAGTGAGCAAGGAATCGATGCAGACAAAAAAAATGCCATCAATTTAATAAATGATTCGAAGGACACACTTGCTTCAGAAATGAGACGCCTGGCCACAACACAAGGATTTTGGTCTTCAAAGACTACCAGTAGGTCCAACAGTCCTGTTGCTGCGAGTGAACAGGGGGATGGTTTATTGGTTAGTAAGACATTAAGCTCTTCCAGGAAAAACAGCAAAAACTCCACACCAGATGTGTCACCATCACCATCTCGCAGAAAATCTTCCAACAAGATAAAGAAAAAGCAGGAAGAGATTGAAGAATTAAGTAAGCTCAATGTACCTGCTAACGAACTGAAGCGATTGAAGACGACTGATGGATTTGCTTACCCAATATTTTCTCCTTCTGGTCTGAGGCCCAGTTCAAGGGATGTGAGCCCTTCCTCAACTTCATCATTGGAAAGGATTGGAAGGCAAATGGCAAGGTCTCATGCTAGTAATGAGGATAAATCATTGCTGGGAAATTTGGAAAATTCCACTCCTTTGCCGAAGAATAAAAGGGGAAGACCCAAGGGTAAAGTAAATTCTCCAAAAAAACTAGTTAAAAAGAGTGGAAAAACTAATACTTCATCTACTTCAAATGAAGACGTATCTCAGACTGTAGAAGTTAGCAACCCTTTAGCCAAACTGACTTCTTATAGTTTAATGGGCAGTGAGAAGTCGGTGCGTGGGCGGCCCAAAAACAAAGTACTTATACTTGGGAAATCTAAGAAGACCAAGATGTTTTCTGACAACGCATTAAATGATTCTGGAAACACAGGAGCTGGTCCTGTTTTATCGGACATCGCTACACCATCAACTAACACTGACCTGTCGTCCGAAATGGAGAAAAGCTCTGGTAAGATGAAAGCAGGCCGTGGCAGACCTAAGTTAAAGAAGGTTTTACAAGAGAAAAGCCCACTCCCCGTTGAGACCGTTGCCAGTTGTTCTGATACCGTTGCCCCAGAGGCAATCGCTTCAAACAGTCCTGTGTCACATTTTGCGGGCGTCAGTGAATTACTCAATGACACTCAAGTCAGAGTCACACCGCCTGGTGGAAAAGCCAAAAGAGGCAGGCCACGAAAGCTGAGCCTACCTCTTGGTGCTGATAAGTCGGCTGAACGTTCAGGGGCGGTAAAAAAGTTGGGTAGACCTAAAATTGTGAAGGACAATGTTAATGACTGTGCAGACACCCCCATATCTACTCAGGAGGCTCTGGAACTCAAGAGCTTGTCCCTGATTAAATTGGATACGGCTAAGCAGCTAAAGAGGAAGAACAGTTTAAAAAAGCAAAGACAAGCATTAGCTTTAACAGATGGCAATCAAGGTCGTCAGAAAGTGAACAGATCAGGAAAGAAAGCAGTTGTTGCAAAGGAAATTTATGGTGTGAGACTGTATAAAACAAAGAAAGGGAAGGGAAAGAAAACCAACATGAAAGACAACACCGTTGGGAGTGTCAATGATGAGCTTAAGATTGTTGAAGTGGAAAAAAAAAAGAAAATGAAAAAAAAAATAACAGAGACAGTCTCAATAGAGCCAAGTGCTTTCTCAATGGACCCAAATCTGGTTGAAATGCAGTCTGTTGAGCCAATCATGGGAGAGTCTATTGTGAAATCTAAACCAAAGAAGATAAAGCTACCTAAGACTCTAAAACAAAAAATTGTTTCTCGCCTCGGTCTCAAGGGGAAAATGAGGAAAAATCTCCCTGGCGTCGAGTTGCAAGTTAAGCACAAGAAAATTCTGAAAAAAAGGATGACTGACAAACATGGCGATGCTGTGAAGCATTCAGATCAATTAACTGAACTTTCTCGTTTGACAGAGCTCAAACGTTTAAATACCACAGTTGGATTTTGGTCATCGCCAGATGTTAGCACCGATGTGTTGGTCAGAAGGTCGAAGCAAGTCAAGATGAGTGAGGCTAAGGCCAAGCATGGTAAAAAACCTAAGAAGCCACTGGCTCAGCTGAGTTTCTCAAAGCCGATCTCTCCCAAGAAACCTGAGAGCAGCCTTCTTCAACACAGGAAAAAGAAACTCAGCTCGTTAAAACATAATCTGAAGAAGGGGAAAGTGTTCCCTAACAGTGACCTCCTGTCAAAAGAGGTGGACTCAAATACTAAGTCTAAGAGACAAAATACCTTAGAAGACCCATCCTTTCAGCCCAAACCAGCAACACCGGATGTGCTGGAAATCAAAAAGAAAAGAAGAGGCAAAAACTTGTTGGAGTTGGAAAGTTTTTTGTCCATAAGTAGTCAGGTTGAAGCTAGGCGTAAGGGGAAGAGCCTAAATGAAGACAAGTCCTTGGAGTTATTACAGAAAATAGAATCAGAGACAGTCGCCAGGGTTGATAAGCAAATTGAAGAGACAGAATGTCTTATCAGGGAAGATGCCAAGGCACTTGAAGACACTAACATGTGCAGTACTGATCCACGTGAGGAGAGACCAACTGATTTGGATAAGAAAGTGACTGCAAATTTTCTGAAGGAAGGCAGTGATGTTGAGCAGTTTTGTAAGTCTGGTGCCAGTAATGAGGATAGTGTCCCAGAAATATCTTCTGAACACAACAAAACCGTAACTTCTATAAGTGCCGGAAAAGATGAGGGCAATGGCAATGTTTTAATTCCAGAATCATTGACCTTTACGACGATGATGCCTCAAACTGAAGATGCTGGTGTTTGTGAGACAAACATATCAAGTGTTACATTATCTGAAAACATTATGACCTTGACAGAATCTTATTCACTGGATCAGCACTCTCAGAGCAAACCTTCAGACTTGGTTGTAACTGATGTCATTCAGACCCTACCTCAAAATTTGAAGTTGGTTAACAAGTCATGTGTATCTGTGCTTGACAACATATCTGAGCCAGATGCTAAAGATTTACCTGATCAATCTCTTGCTGATGTGGACATGGAGAATTCAGGAAGTTGTGTAACAGTGTCAAATGTTCCATCTGAAGTCAAGGAAGTGGGGGATGCCTCGTTGACTGCTGCTGAAATTGTCCTAGAAAGAGGAGACGTTTTAGTTGGTGTTGATTCTTTAAATACCCCTGAAGATGGGAATGTTGAAAACAGCAAGGAGATCTTGGGCTGTAACACAGACGATGCTCCTCTGAACACGGAGGATGCTCCTCTGTGCGTTGAGACAGGGGCTCAAAAAGTTCTGATGCCACTAAATGCAGTAGCTGTTGAGTTGGATGAGAAGAACTCAGTGGCTGAACTTCCAATTGATGATGCAATACAAATCGGGGCTATAAATGAGAAGACATTAAATGAAAGGTCACAAGATATGCCAGCTCCTGGTGAGAATGTGGATATTTCAATGTCATCTGGCTTATGCAATGCTATCAGTAGTAGTAAAGAGACTGCTGAAATGGCTGCTTTAGTTTCAACTCTCAGTAATGTTGAAATTCCTGTTTTAGATCCATGTGAAGAACTTGCCAGTGACCCTGATATGTCCCAATTTGAGGGTATAGTGTTGAACAAGCACAAGAAACGCAGGAGGATGAAGACAAGCTTTTACAGGTTTAAAAAACGCAGACTTACTGAGATGAGACAGAAGAGATTATCTGCCCTGTATGGAGAAGCCCAGGAAAGTTCTTCAATAGATTCTGATAATATAACTGATAGTCTTCCTCCAAGCAGTGCTGCTGTGCTGGAAAATGAGGATATTTACCCAAAGGACCCCTTGCGAAAAGTTAGAAAACGCAGGAGAAATGTTTGGAGAAAAGGGGTTGTTAAAAAGCCTGCTTATGTAGCTAAAAAAGTACGCAGCAAACAACAGGTAGCCTCATCACAAACTGCAGACCAGTTGGTACTTTTGCCACTGGAGGAAAGTGAAACTACAATTAAAGAAGCTAGTAGTGCTCCCCCGGTATTGGAGGCATCAAAAACTGGTGTAAAATCGGCTAAAGAGAAAAAGTTTGCCATGCTGAGACGGCTCCAAACGAATGCCAATTTGGCCAATGCTGTCCTTGATGAGAGTACGCTTAAGGGGAGATTTTTAAGGAAACAGCCACCACAAAGTATCACAAGCGTTGATGGTAAAACAAGAAGAGAGAGGTCAAAAGCTGGGGTATCTTTATCAGGGCTTCCAGAGGGGCTACTGCAGCAACTTACGGTCGAGATCCCTGATGAGACTAAGCCAAAGAAAAGGGGAAGACCTAGAAAGCTCAGTGCTTCCATGCCAAAGTTGACCCCTACTGATATCGACAGCCCAAACTCTAATTCTAATATTTCATGGTCTCAAGCACCGCCACCGGGGTTAACCCCACAGTACAGGACATCACCAAAGCCAGAAGAAGAAACATTTAATTTGTTTGGGAAAGCTGACAGCAAGGGCTCACTGGACACAGAGTTTGTTGCTGAAAGCGTAGATGAAACTGACCTCCATTTGTATCTGTCTGGAGTGAGTGATGAAGACCTCTCCCCATCAAAAGAGTCTTCATTTGCCAGCCTAGAGGTTAACCCAAAGCCTCAAGAGTTTGTTCCTGTGATACCAACTGAGGGGGACACCACAAAGCTAGATTTGCCTCTAGATAATGAAGCTCCCACTCTTATCATCTCACCTTCAATTATCAAGGATAAAGACTTGAAAAAAACTGGTAAAACTAAGATGAAAGGTAAAAAAGGAAAACCACCAGGGATTCCAATGACAGAAGAAGAGAAGAGCAGGAAGGGCCGGAAGTCCAAATCTTCCAGTCCTGTAGTTTCTCCTTCACTCTATCAAGATTATGATCTATTTAAGAGGCCGCGGACAGCTCGAAAGTCTATGCAAAACTCAAATATGTATTCCCCACCGATATCGGGTCAGACGAGTGCTTCTGGCTCAACATTCAGTTTAAGGAAGAAGTCAACACGTTCTCCTCTTGAGATGCTGGAAATGAAAAGAAGACAAGAAGAGGCCATTTATGATTTAGAAGAGGAAAGGCGTCAAGCTAGGCGAATCCTGCTGCGAGAGAAGCGCTATGCTAGAGAATCTGGGGATGGATTTTCAGATGATGGGGAAGTCTTGGATGAAGTGCCCATAAAACCTTGTTCTGTCATGCTGAGTGACTTTGTGAAGAAGCTTCAGCTGGATAACATTGATTCACCATCGGAAAATGATGAGGAAGATGATGATGCAGACTCAACAATGTTCTCTAGCCCAACATATAACGTTGTGGATGATCAGGGTGACGAGGACTGGTGCGCCAACTTGGAGGATTTTGAAGATGTGGACGACGATGAGGGGCTAGTGAAGGAGAAACACGACAGACCCTACAAACCCAGACTCAAGCTTAAGAGGGTTATGAAAAAGAATAAACTGTTTCGGATTAGAAGGAAAAACCCCAGCTCAAGCTCACCAAAGGCTGCACAAGAACCTATTAAACTTGTCATTAAAGCCGAACCCATATTGGATTCGGGTGCTCCGGGCTATAAAGCCACCATGGATTTATCCAAAGTGGAGCGGACTGGGTTTGAAGGAAGTTACCTCGACTTTTTGAAATGCAAGTCCAACGATGAAAAACGAAAATCTTCAGTCAAGAAGAAAAGCTATGTCGCTGCTCAGCTTAGTCCAAAAGAAGACAAAGATAATAAAAAGAAAGAAGGGAAATCACAGAACTTAGTAAGTAGCCCACCAAAAGTACCTTCCCTTCTGATAGCCCCTGGCATGGGTCATGTTCGCAAAGTTGGACAATGTGACGGTTCTCCAGTGCTTGTTGCTTCACAGAGCAACAATGAATCACCTGTTAAAGAAACTCTTCTCACAAATAGTCCAAAAGTGCCTCTTGTTTCTGAACTTTCTAAGAATTTGTCACTGGGTGAAGAAGAAGAGGAAGATCTTCTAATCTTAGATCTAGAAGAGGGAGCCCAGGATCAGAACTCGAGTGGTTCCTTTAAAGGTAGTCCCATTACTGAAAATGCTGATGCAGAGAAACCCACGGTTGTTGCTAAAAATGCGCTTGTATTTGAAAATAATGCCACCCATAGCACCATTTCTGAGCCGCTCAGTCATGTTCAAAGAACTCGCTCTAATGATGAGATGGGCCTGATGTTGGCTTCATACAACGACTTTGATAATCCTAGCACTGGAAGTAATCAGCTAAAATCGGTCACAGAAGAAAAAGTTCCTGACCTTACTACTGAAAGTCAGTGTGTAGATAGAGAGAATGATGCAGCTCTTAGGGTTACTAAACCTTGCAACATAAACAAAATATCAACCAATATTTCCGCATTTGAACCTTTGAAAGATATTTCTAAAGAAAAAGTGTCTCACACAAAGACTTCTGTTATTGGCCAAGTTGACATGTCTGTATTAACTACAGCAATTGTGTCTGAGGATGATCAGATGCAAGTAGGGTTAACTGTTTTGAATGGTTCAGTAAATTCCCCAGATAATAACAATGTTATGGTTCCAGCAAAATCTCCCTCTTCTATTCTAAGCGAGCCCATAAAGAAAACTGGTAATGTTAATGAGAACTCTATAAGCCCTAGGCAGATCACACAAACCGGCAGCAAGTCAGATGAATGGAGAGTTAAAGTGATCCTTCAATCTGACAAATTGCCTTCTGGGAAGTACAAATGTAAGCGCTGCGACTACAAAGCTTCAGAAAAATTATCCATCGAGTCTCATATATATAGTCATATTCCAGGTGTTCAGTTTCGCTGTGCATATTGTGATTGTGAATTCAGTTCAATGACAGCCACATGGTCTCATCTAAAGAATTTCCATGCCATCAGCGAGGCAAAGCTTTGCATAAGTCGCCACATTGAGGAGAAGTGCTTCTATGAAAAGGAGGATGTGGTCTTCTCAGAAGAGAGCACCCACACCAGTTCATCACAGCCAACAAATATTAACCCAGGGGGTCAGTCACCACCCGTTATAATATCTGTGCTTGTCAGCGGAACTGTGAATGCCTCTAGGAGTGCAAGATCCGGGGCTCCACGTCGGTTCGTCTGTACACACTGTGGCTTCTCCACCAATGTCAAGGAAGATGCAGAGCACCACACATCAGACCTTCACAAATCTCACAATCTGTTTGCCTGCCTTCTGTGCAATGAAAACATTTTCTCATCTGAGGCGGAGATAAAACAACATAGTGCCGCTGTTCACCCGAAACGTCAGAGGACTTACGGCAAACTGCCAGACTTCTATGATGCTGAACAGCTCAACTCAAAGGGGAAAAGCCCCAACCAAGAGGAAAGAGACAACATCTTTGAGAGGATGAGCTCCATATTCCAAGGGGATGAAACCCAGCAGGAGACAAATGCCATAGATCATCATCAAAAAGCTAAAGATTACCTTTACCTGCAGGAAGAATGGAAAGAGAAGACCCGGGTGGAAGCAGATAGTACGACTGCTGTGGACTTTATGGAAGACACGCTTGCTGAACCGTCTACTACAGAAGGGCAGCTTTTGGTGGATGGGTCTTCTACTGGCGAGGACAAGGTTTCTGAAAATGAAGTTTCAGTGGATGAAGTGTGCATGAAAAGCTCCAAGCAGCTGTCGTGTGATGCTGACATCACCTCGTCTGCTGCTGCCATGCTGGTGACAACTGAAATTTCTGAAAAAAGATCAACCCTGACATTGGCAGGCGCTACACCTTTAACCACCTCTTTAAACGAAGTCAACATTGTTGCACAGGATACTGATGCACTTGGAGACTCTATAAGGTATGTAATAATAATATGATCTGGTATTTAATATTGGAGTTAAAATAGTGTTTATTATTTTTTTTTATGAATATAATCTTATTAAATAAGATTCAGATTATTAAAATAAATTATTTTTTTAGTACCGGTTACTAATTTTTGAATAATGTAATATTTTTGTTTTTATTACCGTTGACCAATTGTTTGCACAATTTAGGCGAGTCTTGTTCTACTTCTTTTTTTATTTAGGTTGTCATTTAAATTCTGTCAGAGGGGCATAAGGCATAAACAATGTCTTTCTAATCCCAAACACATTGTCTACCCAGGGTTTGGGTCTTTCCAGTTTAATTTTTGTATTTTTCCATGCTTGCTTTAAGTTCCAAATGTTTTTAAGTGCAACAAATGCTCCTTCTGCTTGTTGTAATCTTCTATTGGCATGATTATTCAGCGCACTCTATTTCTGTCATATAATTGTTCTTTTTTTCGTACTGTTCATTGCTTTTTTTTTTTTTTTTTTTTTTTTTATTACTTTTTTTCTTTTTTTTCTTTTTTTTTTTTTTTTTTTTTTTTTTTTTTTTTTTTTTTTTTTTTTTTTTTTTTTTTTTTTTTTTTTTTTTTTTTTTTTTTTTTTTTTTTTTTTTTTTTTTTTTTTTTTTTTTTTGATAATAACTTCTCTACTTCTTTAACGTCTATTTTGTGGGGAAAATAAGGATATGAATTCTCCTTACTTCTATCAGTGCCAATCTAGCAAGTACTTATACCCCACCCTCAAAGAACCAGGAAGATGCCAGCTTGGCAGATGGTGAGAACGTTTCAAGCGATGACTGCATGGGGCTAAAGATAGTCCAGGTTGTAAGTCTTAGTCAGCAGAATGAATCTGCTACAGGTGATTCTGAGCTTGCTGAATGTTTCAAATCTGTTGGACAAGAACATATCAAACAGGTAGGTAACCACCATACTTCACTGCACATATCAGTTGATATTTACCCAAATGCCTTTTTTTAAAACTCTGGTATATTTACTGTATATGTTTTAACATGTCCTACATTATTCTTTTATGTTGAAGCCGTGTCATACTAGCGAGGACCACGTGAAGATGTGTGTATTTTTACCAAGCCATCAAATGTTTTTTGCTTTCTAGATCTGTCACTGCTTCATTATTTTTTTTATAAAATGACACTGAAGGCTGCCACTGCATATCCTAACTAATAACGTCACTTTGGAGATGGTGTCGGTGGGTCGTCGAGTTTGCACTCATAATACCCCGGCACTCTCCCAAACGGGCCAGAGCCGAAGCTCCAGACCGTGCGGAAGCGCGCCAGGAACTTTCCTCCTGGCCTGAGGGACGTCCGGTCGACCGAGGACGCTGCATTTAAAGCGTCTGTAGTCCACTCTCCTATAGGTCAGGACGGCTTTACTTCCTCTCCGGGGAGGTGGTGTTGCGTTACCACTCCCCACCGCCCAGGGAGCTGTTCGGTCGATATCATTTGACTGAATCTATTTATTATAGTTACAGAAACAATTCATATTAGATTGGTGAGCACCATTTAACTTGGCAGTTCCTAAATTTTTTGCAGCTCCGCACCCCTGATGATTTTTAATCCCACAATCCATCTGGATATCAAAACCTATTTCCCATCCGCACCCCCACACCTTAATTTTAAAAAATGCTAATTAAAATACAAATCACACTGCCTGATTGTTCAGAACCCTTGCTTTAACTTCATAACCCAAATTTAAAGGAAAGAGGTAATGCATCGAATAGCATAGCTGACCTTAATGCACATTGACAATTATGGTACCGATATACCCTCTTATCAGATTTTTTTTATTATTTCAGACAACTGGTGACACAACAGACCAAGGGCTTATTGACCAATTGAAAACTTCCAGCAAGCCCAAAGAAGATGAACCTCAATCAACACAAGCTTGTCCTGTTGCTCCTGCAAAAGAAGTTGTTCCAGACAATACCAACAATCAGCCACAAGCTAAAGACACCAAACAGCCTGGGTCTTCAGCACAGATGCCTGCATCTGGTCACACATCCACATCATCATCTTTTGCCTGTGGCCTTCCTTTGTCTTACAAATGTAACGCATGCAGAGTGCACACCCCTTACCTCCTTATGATGGTGAAGCACTTGAAAGCAAAGCACCCAAACATGCGCTGCTTCGCATGTCCGTATTGCAAGGCTACCCATAGTTTTATCAGCCAGAAACAGCTTCGCCTTCATGTCAGAAACTCTCATCCGGACAAAATTGGCAGGAATGAAATTGCCCTGTCCGAAGAAGCTAAGAAGTTTGTTGAGGCTATGGTGCTGCCCAATAGTCCCGAGTGTATACGTGTTGGAAACCGGGTGGTGCTTGAGGAAGACATTCATACGTGTACATACTGCCAGGTCAAGATGACGTCACTGGCTAACGTTTACGAACATCTAAATAGTAAACACTCGGACTTGTTTGAGTTTGTCTGTCCTGTTTGTCAGAATTTTAAGAGCAAAGTCCTCAGTGAGATAGCCATTCACTGCATGCAGGCTCACAAGTCATCTCTTGACACTGACAAAGTTCACGTTTCTGTTCCCAAAAACTTATTCACCGTGCTGACCTGCATTTCTAAAGGGGGAAAGTACATTGAGAAAAGTTTGCATGCTTCGGAAGACAACGCTTCAAAATCAGGAGCTACACCGGCAGGTACTTCATCAGACTTACAGCCGACATCTGAAATGGGTCCCAAGGCCCCAAACCCGCAGCCCGCACACAAGACAATAGTGGATTCTCCACTCAGCCTGCAGCGAACATTATCATCCGTATCGACACCAGCCCCGGCAGCTGTAGAGCCATTCGTTGGTCCATTATCCCAGTCCATCCCACAAATGACACTCTTATCACAGACCCCGCTCATTGCTATTCCGATTGTTTCTGGGTCGATTGGAGGAATTCCATCAGTGTCTACCACCCGGCCTCTGATAGCTTTCTCCAGCTCACTCTTTGACACGTCAAGTCTGACATCGCCGCCTCAGCTCATAATGTCTAGTGCATCTAAACCGACTTCGGTCATCCAGAGTACGGCAGGGGCTGCCAGTTTCTTGTCACCTTCACAGAGTGTGCAACCCTTTACTAAGTCTAACCCACCTACAAAACCGTCTTCTCAGCAGCCTGGGCCCAGAAAGAAAAGTTTAAAAAGCTTACCTGTTTTGAATATTCCAACCATAAAACCAAGAGCTCATCAGCCCTCATTAAGTACCACCCCAGGCAGGCCCTCACATGAAGTTTCCATTGCCCCAAGCTCCACCCCTGCACCACCAGCTGCTCATCACTCACCTCAGACCAGAGTAGCCTTTAAGGCCCCAGTAGTTGACAACCTTCCAGAAAATGAACCAAGTCCAGATGCTTTTAAAATTTTCAACCTTCGCCCTATGCCCCAACCCTCTCCTACTTCAATGGCTCCACCTGCAAACCCTATTGTATTCCCACCAGTCTCTACACCAATCTCCTCTGCATTTATTCAAGGGCCACTGGCAGGATTCCCAGCAAACATGGTGCTCCAACCTAACCTCATGACACAGTATGCTTTCTCCCAACCACTTATGCATCCTCAAAAACTGAGTGTCCAGCCATCTCAGACCTCAAAACATATTAGACCATCAACACCATCTGCTGCTCCGGTGTCCTCCCCTCTTGGGGGAAGTTTCCCATCCCACGGAGCGTCAAGTGCCCAGTTTGGTAAAAAAAATCAACCTCCACGTGATCCTCCACTTTTGAAGGACCAGCGTTATGAGCTTCAGCGGCAGCTGCTGCTCCAACAGCAGAAACCAACTCATACCTCGGCCCCACCGTCACATCAGACGGCCAAATCTGGACATTTTCACATAACATCCCATCCCCCATCCTCACACACGTTCAATCAGGGGCCAGCCTCGGTGAAACATAAAGAGCTTTCACATTCAAACCCATTACCTTTAGCGTCGTCTTCATCGCCTAGTGAGTCCATGGCCAGGCCGGTCAAAGGTGTGCACAAACGCAGCAGTTCTATCTACCAGTGTCCGTACTGCCCTACGCTGGTCATCTTGAAGCCACTGGAGGTGGCCTCCCACATTCAGCAGCTCCATCCTGGTCACCAGGTTGCCTTTAAGAAGTGGAACTTCAACAGAGGGGACCACTAACTGATTTCTATAAACATCTAATGAATGCTCGTCGTGACTTTAACAAACTTTTCATCTTGAAGAGACACGAGAGCATTTTCACCTCATCTACTGACCGACTCTTTTTAATGACCCAATGTACAAAATAGAAAACACTTATTTTATCAGTTAACTTTGTAGAAAACCTCAAGTACGTTATTAATAATGACACTGAACTAAATGAAGCTGACAGTGTGCTGTATCTTTGCCTATTTCACAAAACTCTAAGGAGTTGTAAAAATATCCGGTAGTACACATTTATTTCATGGTTTTTAAAACTTTTGTTGTTCACAATGCAAGTGGCAGTGTTTTAAGACTGGTGTTGATCATCTATTCAAGACTTTGAATGTGTGCTTAAACCAAACTGGTTTTGTAATGCCATGATGATGTAATGTAAGTCTTGGACAGTTTTCTGCAAGCTAAATTTTTTTTGTTTGTGTTATGTGCTTTGTGCCCAGGATAATGTCTCTGTTAATTGTTTAGCCTTGTAATAAGTGCCTTCCTGTTATGATTTATTTTCTTCCTTTCTATGTGATGACTGAGGCTATCTGTTTTGTTTTTCTTTCTGGCTACTGTGCCATTGCATTGCTCTGTTCCTTGTTGGATGAGGTCAAATGTAACCTTTGAGGTAATGTTATTTCAGGTAAATTTCAGATCATTTAAATTTCATGCTCTTTTTGTCCGGTTTTGTTATTTATGCAGCAAATGGAGCAAAACATTTTTTTTCACCGTACATGGAAATGCAATTTCAGTCGATATATTAATTCGCAGTTTGTTTATAAAAAGCTGTTTGATATTCGTTTAAGGGCCTATTTTTTAATTTTTTAAAATTTCCATCAAGAAGCTAAGATGGCTAAATTATTTATTCACATTTTGACCTATTAATAAATTGCACAGTATCACATTTGTAAAAAAAAAAAATTAATTAACGGTACTATAAATCATCATGCAGTTAAAGTTACATTTTTAGAAATTAACTAGGATGTAATGTTAATTTGTATTTTGTTTAAATGTGGACACCTGTCTATGTGGTGTTTTTTCAGCTACAGCCATCTTATTGATATGCAAGTCACATTCGTTAAAATGCAGCATTGGAGATGGAGTCTCCATTTTGATCAAATGTTTTTTTATCCAGAATTGCATTATTATTGACAATGCTTTGAATTCATGTATCTTTGCAAGCATTTTTTTTTTCTCATAAGGTTAACATTCTTATTGCGGTGTATTTTGATAGCTCAAACTATATGGAAGTTTCAAACACTCCTTCTTGAAAAATCTTGACAAAAACAAGTTGTCTGAATCTAACATTTGTTTTCAAAAATAAAAAAAGCAAAAATCTATATAATTTATTGCATGTTCTATTTTAGTCACACCGACATTGACCTAACTACTCAGGGTGAATTTAGAAAGGTAGTAACACAAAGTTTGCATGTGGATACAATAATGAGATTATGTTGAGACAAAGATGAATCTTTTTACACACTGCCACTGGATGTCTTTTTTAATGCATTGTGAATTCTTCGCCCCTGGAGTGACTCCAGTAAAATGGTGTGTTGAAGTACTTGAAGGCATGGTTTGTTCCCATAAACTGGAACTAGACCTATGGGAACATTGCATCCCTAGGGAGCAGATTGTTTGATGCTGGGCATTTGTAAGTAAGGCTGGTTAGGACTGTAGAGTCTCCTCCAAGAAGATGAATGGGTGTATTGGAAAGTTGATGTTTCCCGTTCCCCCCCCCCCCCCCCCCCCCCCCCCCGCACTTTTTATAAACATGATTATCTTTTTGTTCTTGTATTGAATTACAACATGATGATGTGTACAGCTGTTGGAGAATAAATGACAATTTTAATAAACATGAACTGGACGTTATAGTTATAGTCTTTCTTTTGTAAAATGCTTGCTAATAATAAACAAGCTAGGTGCCAATCGGAAACTTACTTACGTACTGAAACAGATTCAGTCTGACATGTATTATGCCAAATGAATGTTAAAAAATAGCCTCCGTTTTGAATTTCAGACATTCTTCAACCTTGTCTATAAACCTTTAATATCTTTAATGCCTTCATTAGGTCTCAAGAACACTTTAAAAATTGAAATGATTTTTAAAATATTTGAGACTGAGTTATAACTAAAAATCTGTCATGGGTATTAATGTTTTAGACCATGTTCCCAAATATTTCAGAGGACCAGAGGCTGGATAATTATAACCTCCTACTAATTTTGATTATGTCCGTCTGTGTGGGTATATAAAATATGCTGCCTAAAACTTCACGGCAAGTTATAATTTCAAAATCATCACTGCACATTGATGAGGAATTGTGATGAGTTTTGCGGAACCAGTCAGTCGCAGCTAATTTGATACATGAGAATGTTCAGTCAGTCGCAGCTAATTTGATACATGAGAATGTTGACGCTAACCGTATAAGCTTTCTTAAGCAAGCGAAAATACAACATTGGCTTACAGTTAATCTCTCCGCAATGGCCGCTATAGCGTTCAAACCGGACACCAAAGCAACACGGGTACTCGTCTCACTCGTCATTGATTGGGTACACCATACAAGGAATGCACGTGGCCTCAACGCTTGAGGACTCGGACGGCGCTGATCTCATAAGTTTCTGCCCAGTCCAGCAACAACCAAGATATATTAGTATTGGGAGGGGAAAAAAATCTAGAAAAGGTGAATCTGCCACTCCACAGGTCTTCAGGTTAATGCAAGGAGAAACACAAGTCCTGAGAAATAATGCCAGGGTGCAGGACAAAGTCACTGAAACAGAGCTCAGGGGTAGTGGCAGATGTAAGTAGGATGGACTGGCAGTCCGGGGAGGGATGGATGCTCTGCTGTAACATACTAGGGTATTGATTCTCCTCTTGCAGTTGATGCTCAATACTAATAGGAATATCACAGATAATCTGCATGAGCAACTGTTTCATATTGTTATGTGAAATTCTTGTTAAAATTATTTCAAGATAAAAGTAGTAAATGTAACATTACATATTGTGTCTGTTAAGCTACAGACGGGATCAAAAATATGCCAGCAGGTATCTATGGGTTTATTAAATGGTTGAGTGACATCGTACATCCCATGCCCCGACCCATGATATTTAAAAAAAAAAAAAAAAAATTAAGAATAAACGGGCCTATAAACCAATAGTGCATATTTCATCAATTAGTACTCGAAAGACAGCAGGTATCTATGGGTTTATTAAATGGTTGAGTGACATCGTACATCCCATGCCCCGACCCATGATATTTAAAAAAAAAAAAAAAAATTAAGAATAAACGGGCCTATAAACCAATAGTGCATATTTCATCAATTAGTACTCGAAAGCGTTTGGGTTTTCTTAAAATGTGCTACTCGTCAGTACCGGGGTGAAACAAACAATCGGCCCCACGGTGGCCGCACCTATTGTCAGGCGTTTTTTATGTTTTTTTTTTTTTTTTTTTTTGTTTTTTTTTTGTTTCCTTTAACTAGCATTTATTTTGATTAGGATGCCCAATTCCATTTTAGGTACTATTTTTAGAGGGAAAAAAAATCAGTTTTCTTAAATTGTCAATTTTAAAATAAATTCAGTTGCTTTGGAATTTAAAAAAAAAAAAGGTATGCCGAAGACGCAATCTGTAATTTATCCGAAGAAAGTTATTGTAATGTGAAATTCAAAAATAAAAATTTCAATCAACTGAATTTTTTTTTTTAGTCTAAACTCAATTTTTTACGATTTCACTCATACAAAATCACACAATAATAATTTTATGATGTCTATTGTAAAGATATCATTATCGTGCCCTTTGAACATAAGTGTGCCGTTCATCTAAGATTAATAAACATGGCCGCCTTTGAAAATTCATAAAAATGTATTTTTTTTAAAAATACTACAAATATATATATATATATATATATAAAAAATTCACTGTAAGACACGCTGTCCTAAAGAGTACAGAAAATATTCACAATTGTACCTTAAAAAGTTTACATTCTGTCAGTGTCATGGATGTATCTAAAAAATAACGCTGTGTAAAACGGGGATTTCCGTTGAAATATTTCCGAAGAAAAGTACCAGAAGTGTTTATTTTAGTGAGTAATTCAGTGATTCCCAAAGTGGACTATATCGACCCCCGGGGTCGACGAAAACTTGCAAGGGGTCCGTGTCATCGAAAAAAAAAATTGGGGTCCATGAAATGAAAATAGGGGTCTACGATAGTGGATCTCATGTAAGCAGGTCGTGACTTCTATTTCGGCATTCCATGAATGAAATAGGCCACATACACAGATAGTATCTATTTTCTTACATAATAATATAAACATAATAATAAAATACCTTATAATATAAAGACATATATCTTCCTACATAAATTATAAAAGTACCTATGAAGTAAAAGTTTCAAAAACATAAATGTTCATGAAATATGATGAAGAATCATATTAAATTTTACGTTATTAGGTATATTTTCTGATACATGAAACTATTTAAGTTTTTATTTTCTCTACATGTAAGGTTTTATTTTGCAAAAATTGTGTATCTTTCCGCAGTAAATTGTAGCCTGTGTCAACTCTTTAGCTAGCTAGACCTCCGCCTGTGTCAACTCTTTAGCTAACTAGACCTCCACCTGTGTCAACTCTTTAGCTAGCTAGACCTCCGCCTGTGTCAACTCTTTAGCTAGCTAGACCTCCGCCTGTGTCAACTCTTTAGCTAGCTAGACCTCCGCCTGTGTCAACTCTTTAGCTAGCTAGACCTCCGCCTGTGTCAACTCTTTAGCTAGCTAGACCTCCGCCTGTGTCAACTCTTTAGCTAGCTAGACCTCCGCCTGTGTCAACTCTTTAGCTAGCTAGACCTCCAGCTGTGTCAACTCTTTAGCTAGCTAGACCTCCAGCTGTGTCAACTCTTTAGCTAGCTAGACCTCCAGCTGTGTCAACTCTTTAGCTTGCTAGACCTCCGCCTTTATCTGCGCACAAGATCACGGAGATTTGTTGACTAAATTTAATATGGTTAACTTGCAGTTACAATCTGGCAGTCTAAATTTGATTAAAACAAAGTCCATAATGTCAGCGTTTCTTGGCCAGAATTAAGCCAATGAAGCCAAACATTGGGGCGGTCCAAATTTTCCGAATTGTCCCAGTTCCCCCAATTTGTCACAGACAAACTGCCAGGAAGACATCACTTCAACCTATGTTCAACATTTAAATGCCCTCTATTCAGATTTTCAAACCAGGGTTGAGGATTTTATTTTTACTTATCTCTTATTATGGAATATCGCGAGGACATTTTAAATTGCTTTTCCATCATCATACGTAGTTGAAAGGGCTTTCATGGCAGGTACTAATCTCCTAACAAAAAAACAAAAAATGAATAAAAAGGAAATAAACTTGACATCTTTCAACTAGGAGATTAGAGATTAAACCTACCTGTAACTAAATTGATGCCAAATGTTGAAAATTTATTATTAAGGCATCAAGTTCATCCCTCACACTAAAAGCATTTACTTGTTGATTCACTTGTTTTGAACTTTTTGGGGGCCAAAAATTGTGGATTTACTCCGGCCAAAAAAATCTCTGTTTTTCACGACCCTGAGCAACAGTAGAGATTCCCCACATGGACACTGAGATAAAACAGTTGGGGACAGTAGTGGGAGACGGCCTCCAATCAGGGAAAGTCACCTTAGACTCAGGAGTTTCACAAGGCACAGTGCTACCCCCCCTCTCTTCCCCTGTCACATAAACGACCTCCCCGATACTGTAAAATCTCAAGTGAGGCTGTTTGCAGATGACTGTCTTGTCTACAGAGAGATAAACGGCTAAACGATGACCACAACCACCTCCAAACAGATTTGAAGTGCCTTATGAATTGGGCGGAAAAATTTGGCATGAAATTTAATGAAACCAAATGCTACACAATGAGCATCTCAAGAAAAAACCATCAACCTATGTGTACTCACTAAAAGAGACAATGCTCCAAGTATCATATAACCCATACATTGGAATTCTCTTCTCAAATAACCTAAAATTGTCAACCCATATAAACAAAATTTTATTTTAAAAAAGCCAACTCCAACCTAGGTTTCATTCGAAGAAATCTGCGCCACTGCCCAACTTCCTGCAAACGAAATGCCTATCTCGCACTCGTCCGTCAACTATACTGGAATATGGTGCGATCATCGGGGACCCAAATCTTAAGCAAGACGTGAACAAGATGGAGCAAATTCAACGTAATGCTGTGGGTTTCATCGCACGAGACTACAAACCCACCACTCCTGGCTTCGTCACTGGTCTCTTTAGAAAAAATTGGCATCCCCTCCCTTAAAGACAGACAAGAGGGACTCCGCCTGATATTCTTATATAAAGTGGTCATGGGACTGGTGCCGTCCATCCCAGCAGGCACGTACCTCACCCCATAGAAGCCGGGTCGATTGATCAGAGCCAAACGCTCACTGAACACTGACTTCACCACTAACGAACCGCATAAACAATTACACCCGAAACAATATCAAATGCTTGACTGTGCCTCGGTGGAACTCAGAGCAGTATAAATTATAAACAATCTTTCTTCCAACGCACAATAATAGCTTGAAACCACCTGGACAATGCCGCTGTGAACTCGAAAGCTTCAAGGCTGCCCTGGCAACTGCTGGGAGCTGTTAGACTAGCAACAGCATTCCCCAAACCGTTGCACAGATGCCAGTATATGGATGCAGGAACAAAAAACCGACCGAAAAAGATTATCTGATTTCGGCC